TAGCAAAAAAAAAAAAAAAAAAGAGAGAGATATTCTCACCACCGGTGTGACCTAGCTTTAAATTTAAAAGTACAAGTACTGGGGCTACCTCAAAGGTAGTCTCAATGATGAAAGCAAAGAGACTAGTCCAACAAGGCGGTTGGACTATATTAGCATGTGCTATAGACGTAAGAGGAAAAGAAAAGACCCTAGAAAACGTGCCTATCACAAACGAGATCCCAAATGTGTATCCAGATGACCTACCTGGAATACCCCCTTCCCGAGTGGTCAACTTCATCATTGAACTCAAGTCGGGAACTGGGCCTATTTCTAAAGCACCCTATCACATGGCGCTAGCAGAATTGAAATAAATCAAAGCGCAATTACAAGACTTACGGGATAAAGGGGTTCATTCGACCTAGCATATTCCCCTAGGGTGTGCCAGTGTTGTTTGTTCAAAAGAAAGATGGATCAATGCGTTTATGCATTGATTACAGAGAGTTAAATAAGAGAACCATAAAGAACAAATACCCTCTACCTAGAATAGAAGACTTATTCGATTAACTAAGAGAAGCAACTATATTTTCTAAGATAGATCTGCGGTCAGGTTACCATTAAATAAAGAGTAAAGAAAAAGATGCACCAAAGATAGCATTTAGGACAAGGTATTATCGCTACAAGTTCGTGGTGATGTCATTTGGCCTCACCAATGCTCCAACAGTGTTAATGGAGTTAATGAACCGAGTGTTCAAGGACTGTCTAGACACTTTTGTGATCGTGGTCATTGATGACATCCTAGTGTACTCGAAAACAGACTTGGAACACTAGGAACACCTCTGAAAAGTCCTAGCCACCCTAAGAGAGAACAAGTTGTATGCCAAGTTCTCAAAGTGTGAATTTTGGTTACGATAAGTCTCTTTCCTAAGATACGTGACGACAAAGGACGGAGTATCCATAGATCCTACTAAGGTCAAAGTGGTCACAAAGTAGGAACACCCAACTTCGGTAATATCAGTACAGAGTTTCTTGGGACTAGCAAGATACTATCGAAGGTTCGTGTAGGACTCCGCTAAAATAGCCTCGCTTTTGACACAGTTAACAAGAAAAGGGGTACCATTTATATGAAATGATGCTTGTGAGGCAAGCTTCCAGAACCTAATAGAGAGATAGGTAACCGTCCCGGTACTCACGGTTCCCAAGATTTAAGAAGAGTACGTAATCTATAGTGACGCCTTCAAAGAATGGACTAGGATGTGTGTTAATGCAACACGTTAAAGTTGTTGCATACGCGTCCCGTCAACTAAAAGAATACGAAGATAATTACCCTACCCATGACCTGGAATTGGCCGCTGTAGTGTTCGGGCTGAAAATTTTGTGACACTACCTGTACGGAGAGTAAATTAAAAGTTTAACCGACCACAAGATTTTAAATATTTCTTCACCCTAGAAAGAGTTAAATATGAGACAGAGAAGGTGGTTAGAATTGGTGAAGGACTACGATGTAGATATCTAGTACCACCCTGGAAAAGCAAATATGGTCGCAGACGCTTTGAGTAGAAAGGCGGCCCACTCTTCGGCCCTCATTACGAGGGAAGTAAGGGTACAAAGAAAATTCGAGGGAGCCAACATAGTTGTAGCGACCAAGAGAATCATAGCACAACTGGCCCGACTCATGGTACAACCTACGCTTAGGCAGAGAATTATTACCTCCCAACGAGAGGATCCTAACTTACAGAAAGTCCTAGGACAGCTAGACGAAAGTCCGGTAGATGGATTCTCGAAGTCATCGGATGAAAGACTATTGTACCAGGGACGCTTATGTGTTCCGGCAATAGAAGATTTAAGGAAAGAGATACTGACGGAAGCTCACAACTCGCCATTTGCCATGCATCCAGGAGGTAGTAAGATGTACCAAGATTTAAAACAACACTTTTGGTGGAAGAGTATGAAGAGGGATGTGGCCGGGTTTGTGAGCAAGTGCTTAGTTTGTCAACAAGTAAAAGCTCCAAGACAAAAGGCTGCGGGGTTGTTGCAGCCCCAAAGCATACCGGAGTGGAAGTGGGAAAACATAGTGATAGACTTCATAGTAGGTTTACCCAAAACGCCCAAAGGCTATACAGTGATCTGGGTAGTTGTCGATAGGTTGACCAAGTCGGCACACTTTCTACCTGGGAAGGTTACATATACAGTGGACAATTGGACACAACTGTATGTGAAAGAAATAGTAAGACTACATGGAGTCCCAGTGTCAATAGTGTCGGATCGGGATCCACACTTTACGTCAGTGTTTTGGCGCGGACTTCAAAAAGCACTGGGTACCCACCTCGACTTCCGCTTTTCACCCCCAAATAGATGGACAAACGGAGCATTTAAACCAAATTCTAGAGGACATGTTACGCGCTTGCGTACTAGATTTTAAGGGAAGTTGGGATTCCAAACTCCACCTCATGAAATTCTCGTATAACATCAGTTTCCAAGCAACTATTGGAATGGCACTGTTTGAGGCCCTGTACGGGAAACGGTGTAGGTCCCCATATGTTGGGACGAAATAGGAGAGAGAAAATTAGTAGGACCCGAGCTTGTTCGACTCACGAATGAGGCTGTCCAGAAAATTCGAGCGAGAATGCGTACCGCTCAAAGTAGACAGAAAAGCTACGGCGATGTAAGGCGTAAAAGCCTGGAGTTTGAGATAGGGGACCCAATATTCCTCAAGGTGGCACCTATGAAAGGTGTGTTAAGATTTGGACATAAGGGCATGTTAAGTCCTAAATTCATTGGACCATTCGAGATCCTAGAGAGAGCCAGCCCACTCTTCCCCTCCGCCTCTACCTTCGGCCCAGCCCAACTACAGCGGCCCAAACCTCAAACTAACCTAGAAGCTACGGTTCAGTTGAACCAACTCGAGACCAGACCCACGGTCCAATCGAGCCGGCCTGCAACACA